AAATAAACTTTTTACACGCTTTGGAAAATCTCAGAAGTTCGCGGTAGTCACTTTTCGGTAAGGAACTAAGGGACTCGGTTATTGTATCGAGTGGGGGGTCGAAACGATCGCAAAGGCGGTATACTACGTATACGCGCCAAAAAAAATCGAAAATTTGACCACAGTTCCTTATTGCATAAAGCTGTCCAAATATCTATCTACTCTTCGTATATGAGAACAATACTAAAGTCGAAATTATATCTTTTGAATTCAAGACTAGAATCTCATTCATATGTTAGCTGTAATAAACAAGCAACAATTCCACAATGAAATACGATTTATTTTAACAAACATCAGAGGAAAATGAGAGAAGACTGTGATATGACTACCGCAGTTCATCAACACCGTCAGTTTCCGGCCATTCGGGTGCGTTTGAAATGTCTTGCAGTTTTTAGATTTTTCAAAAGCGGGTTTCTCCACGATTTCGGCTCCATAAAAATGCGGACAAATCACCACGTTATCTACTCCATTGTACTTTCAGAATATTCAATAAAATAAACAAGGCTTAGTGGTCCATTGACTCGATCCACTGTAGCATTGGTGATTATAATTTTACTTTGATATTGTAATTTCTGGTTGTTACAGACGGCGGTGGCGATGCAAGACCTGCCGGAGGAGCCGCGGGCGCCCGAGCTGAGCCTGGACGTGGGCGAGGCGACCTCCTCGGGGCCGCGGACGGCGGAGGCGGAGGAGGCGGAAGAGACGGAGGGCTCGCGGGGCTGGAGGCGGAAGGAGCTGGCGGCGGCGTTGTGCCTCGTGCTCCGCGTGTGCCTGTCGCTCATCCAGGGGGCCCACGACCTCCAGTACACGGCCATGATCACCATCAACAAGGTCCTCGACGTCTGCATCGTCCACTCGCTCACCCACGTCAAGGTCCGCACCGCTTCAGCCCTCCTCCACCCCTGCCTAGAGACGTGAGTATATTTGCGTATCTTCCTCTTCTTCTCCTTCCTCTTCATCTTGTTCTGGTCCGTCTCCTTCATCTTCTTGTTCTTGTATTTCTTGTTCTTGTTTTTTCTATTTTTCTTTAACTTCTCTACTTCTCCTCTGCTCTAACCTGTTCTTCCTCTCCTCCTACACCCCTTCGTTTCCTTTTCTTTTTTCTGTCCTTCTATTTTCCCTTGATTCATTTCTCCATCTCCTCTCCTTCCTGTCTTATCGTTGATTTACTCTTTTTTCGATACCGCTCATTATTTTTGCTCTCCTCCTCTCTCTTGTTTTCCTCCTTATTCTTATCCTTCTCCTTCTTCTTGTCCCTCTTCTTCTTCACCTTTTTGTTCTTCTCCCTCTTCTTCGAGTCCTTCTCCTTCTTTTTCTAGTCCTTCTCCTACTTCTTATTGCTCCTTCTTCTCCTTCTTCTTCTTCTTGTTATGTGTGCTTAAAGTAGACGTAATTACCAATAAAACAAGACCAAGAACAACTCTCTAGCTTAAAAAATGACAGAGATACAAGGTTTTGAAAATGACATGTAGTAGCGTGACCGCCTCCAGGATTTTTAGCTACAAATAGGTTTGTTAAGATAAAAAAGTTAAAAGAGAATTGAGTGTTTTTAGTGAAAAAACTTACAAAATCTTACGGAAATTGACGAACTTCAAGCTTTTTCATTGGATGACCCGGCTGACTCAACATTCGGCTGTTTTTCGAAGTATTTTCCACCACTTTGAACACAAAGCTTCAGCCGTTCTGCCCACTTCACGAGGATCGTCTTTTAGAAGTCTCCTTGACGGAGGATTTTGAAGAATTTTTGAACAGGGATTTTGATCTCGGCTATGGAATGACTCTTTGCTGAGTTAATTAAATCTCTGAGAGGCACACGGTTTGATTCCATAGCTTTAATCAAAACCGCTGTTCAAAAATTCCTCAAAATCCTCTGTCAAGGAGACTTCGAAAAGACGATCCTCGTGAAGTGGGCAGAACGGCTGAAGCTTTGCGTTCAAAGTGGTGAAAAATACTTTGAGAAACATCCGAATGTTGAGTCAGCCGTGTCATCTGATGAAAAAGCTTAAAGTTCGTCAATTTTCGTAAGATTTTGTAAGTTTTTTCACTAAAAACACTAAATTAAACTTTTTTTCTCGATAAACATATTTGTAGCAAAAAATCCTGGAGGCGGTCACGCTACATGTCATTTTTAAAACCTTGTAACCTCTGTCAATTTTTAAAGTAGAGAGTTGTTCGTGGTCTTCTTTTATTGGTAATTACGTCTACTTTAAGCACACACAAACCGCAAATCGAAAGCAACTTTCATTGACTCAAAACCCGTAAATGTGCAAAACTTTTTGAACACCCTACGTATGTACCGAAAAATAGATAGGTAACAAAATAACCACCATAACCTTATCCACCCTCAAAAACTCGTGATAGGTCGAAGGAAACTTGGCAACGTCCAAAGGCTCATACGGCGTTATTCCTTATCACGGCTGTATAAGGATTGCTTCATGATACCGGAAGATCCTTGCTCTATTTGCCAACAAGGAGTCACGGCGGGCGCGGGCGCCTCCACTCGAAAATCCATTACGGGGGTCAAACTACCCCGATAACTGGAGCTCCCTCCCGCGAGCCGCCCGCTTGGCGGGGACTGGGAAGTTTTGACAGGAACATGAGAATTAGGGGGCGCCCGGATATCGCTTCCGCTGTTTTAAACGCTTTGAGCTCAGGTGCTAATTCGCCTCGTCATCCGACCGCCAGCCCCCCTCCTCCTCCCCCTCCGGCTGCCCCTCACCCTGGTGATTTCCCATCCAGGGTCACGGGGTTCATTATCCCGAGTTTATCGGTCCTTTGTTTGAGATTCATCTATAGCGGGAGTGAACAAACATCGAAGTATCAAAAAATATTGATAAAATACCGTTTGCATTTTTAGTTTTTAGAATAAATAGATCGGAGGGTATGGATTTGATCGATATAAATGGATCGAAAAACAGGGGCGGATCCAGGGAGGCGATGGCGGGATCGCCCCCCCCCCCCATGGAAAAGGATCGATAAACAGGGTGTTCGCAACGAATATCTTAATAATCGATTCTTTATCATAGCTTCAAATGAAGAAACATCGATAGTCGATCATTCGCGCTTCGCCATTGCATTGCATTCTCTTCGAAACGAGACGTTATTCGGAGCGCGTACTTCCAGTCAGCATAACCCGCCGCCGTTAACGGTAGGCAATCCGCAACACAGGCTCTCACACGAGAGGAATCGGCTCGACGAAACAAATAGAAATGAAACACCTGTAGATTTGTAAACTTGGAGCGGTGAGTGCTCAAATTGCGACTTTAAGATACGCGGCACTCGCGCGAGATTACCCGCCCGATTTCGCTTACGACAAATTGATATTAAATTCTCTCGCACATTTATACAACTTGTAAACAGATTTGCGAAAGCGCTTGACGAAAGCTCTCAGACCATTTGCGGCTTCCGTATCAAGTTTACATTTTAAGTTCGCATACTACCGTCCGCGCTTGTCGGATCTCACCAGTTTGCCTTGTTGCGGTTCTCCTAATTTGATGCGTTTCCGCCGCGAGGATTACAATTAGTAAGAGAGGAAAAATTGCATTATTCCACGCTATAAACATTTTCACTTTTACCGAAAAACGATTCGAACCGCGATACTAATTCGCTGTTAATATTTAGTGTTTATGAAGGCAACTCCCGAACAATTTCTGACAAATAATTTTAATTCAAAAACTTTAATTTTTCTTAAACTTGATGCTCCTTCCCTCGTAAGACCCGACAAGGCACACTCTGGGAACCCCTCTCCTTCCACGTTGGATGCAACTTACCAATGAGGAGTGAATAATCGATTATCGATACTTCTCCAGTTGAAGCTTTATGGTAAAAAATCGATTATCAAGGCGTTTGTTGCGAACACCCTGCTTATCGGTCCTTTTCCATAGGTTTAAATGGCAGATCAATCGATGTATCGCAAAGGCACGCCTCGCCGCTGTGTCTTACCCATCGCTCGAAGAGTCCTTCAGTGGATGTGCACTGGAAAAAAAAACACATTAGATCTAGAGTCCAGACTCTTAAAAACATCGACAAGAAAAAATATTATTGATTCAATCAGATTTAAGCTTAAATCAAGAACCAAGCATCTTAATTTGAGCGGATTTCCTTTTGATTTAAGCTTAAATCTGATTGAATCAAGAGTCCTTTTTCTTGACAATGTTTTCAAGAGTCTGGACTCTAGATCCAATGTGTTTTTTTCCCATTGTGCAAAAAATAATTTTAAGGGGAAAGAAAGGATGAAGCGGACCAACGGAGTAGCCAGAAGTTATTTATAAGGAAGAAAATCAATGACCAATGATTTCTTATGGACCCCCCCCCCCCCCCAAAGAACAATCCTAAAACGTCAAAAATGGCTCTTTAAAAAGAAAATCGGGTGTGAATAGCGCAAAACCGCCATGAGCATTTGTTTAATTCCAGAGGGTGCATATTCCGTTCTAATTTCATTTTTGGCTCTAATTGAGCGGCAGAATCCCTCAAATTTAATAAACGTCCGAAAGCTTCCGTCTCCCATTATTCAGCAAACCTCAAAGGGAGTTTTTAAAAACGCATCACTGCAAAAGCAGCGTAATGGACGATACGTTGTTTAATTAAACTCCCTTTGTCGATGGATTCTCTCTGGTCGGCGACGTCCGACCGATCAAACTTTGAAACTTGACCCCCCCCGCTATTTTAAACTCATCAAAAGCCTCGCGGTGGCGCGAGTTGGGGAAAGTTCGCGAGCGCCACCGCGCATTTTTAAATCGTTACATCTCGATCTTGTCCTTAAGTTTAGGTTTTTTTTTATTATATTTATATTCATTTATTTTTATTTTTTTTCACCTCCCCGAGTTTGTGCTTCGACAGGAGCGCGGAATAAAGCCGCAGGAAAGTTGGCGCAACCCGCAACTTCGGACTTTTAATGAAGCGAGGAATCCTGTGATTACAGTTCATTTCAAAGTTTTTTTCCCCAAGTTAATATAGTAGAAAGTAAAAAAAATGAAAAGTCGGCGGGAAGTTGGGCGCGATTTGTCAGGTCTCGCCGGAAAACCGGGCTTTTGCCGGAAATTACCGGAGTTTGTGAAGAACTTCGTCAACCGTGTTTGCCCTAATTAAATTCTCCTCATATTTGAGCTTTTTAATAAACAAATGTTGGCTTTCCAGCAGCGGTCAGATGAGCTTCGTATGCGTTTTTTTTTCTTCTTTTTTTAAATTGCAGAACCTAGGACCCGTGGTCATCTTTCATGCCCACTCTGTAAAAGTATTCGATATTGACTATTATTAATGCGGGAACTAGATAAAATCCGACTGATATTGAAGAAATTTTCTCTATATTCACAGCGTCATAGCTTTCTTTCCAGCTGTATTGTTTGCACGTTGGCAACACTGCTTTTCCTCCTTTTAATCCCTTAAAAATATCGATTTTAGGTGAGGAGAGCTGCCTCATCGAGAATAGATTGTCTCGCTTACATTTAAATTGAGGAAAAGCATTGATGCCAAATTTCAAGAATCGCCACTTCTTTCCAGTGATGTTCCTCATACCTTGAACGTTTGATTCGTCACTATCAGTTCTCTGATCCCTTCAATTTTTATTCCTTGTCGCAGGTCGTTCTAGCGCCTTACTGGGCTAATTCTCATGACTTATGTGGCTATTGACTTTGTGATAGTCCCTACATGATATTCGGCATTTGGAACTTACCTCGGGGGCCCCCGAGACGGAACTTAGGGGGCACGAAGCACCCTCTGGGCAGTGCTGCCATTTTATTTTACCAAAGTTGCGGGGTTCCCGAAATGAAATCCGATTTCCTAAAGTTCCCAGAAAAATTCCGATTTTTCAAAAGCTCCAGAGAAAAAATCTGAAATGCGCCCAGATTTACTTTGCGAAGATCGACTTTGATAAAATAATTATCAAATTTGATGAAAAAAAATCGGTTAAACTAACAAAAAACCCCGAATTCCGGGAAAATTTCAAAAAGACTCCGGAAAAAGTTCCGATCATTCGAAAAGTTCCGAAATTTGGGCGAGGGTGTCTAGAAGTCCGGAATTTCCGGAAAGCTTTGAAAAAGCACTGATTTTTTAAGGGCGATCCGGAAGTACTGAAAAAGTGCGGAAATTCTGCAAGAAGGTCCAGAATTTTTTTTCATTTTTGTCGCATATTTGAGCGAGGAATTCCAAATTTTGAAATTTTCCGAATTTCGTCAAATGGAGGTACTGAAAAAGTACTGAATTTTTCTGTTGAGAAGGTACTGAATTCCTTTGGAATGTACTGAAAAAGCACTGTAAAAGTACTGATTTTTGGCCAGCCTGTTCTAGTAGACGCCCTCTTGGCATTAATTCTTGGAAATTTCAGCACTGCCTCCGGGGGTTGAGCCACATTATGGTCAGAGGATGTGCCCCTAGTATTTTAATCAGTGTTCGAAACTCACACGCGCCAATGCGCCGAACGCGCCTAAGAAATCAGTCATGGTGCCTAAAAAATGAAGACTCTGCGCCAACGTGGCCCTTAAATATTGCCCCCCCCCCCTTGCCCCCAACAAAAAAACCTAATTTTCCTGTTTAGTGATTTTTCGAAATTTCTCCCAAGTTACAGCTACTTGTCCTGTGAATAAAACATCTTGCATCTAGCTTTTCACTGAATGCGCCGTGACATTTAGGTTAAAAGTCACTTTGGCCCCTAAAAAATCGTCAATGGCCCCCAAAAATCGAGCTTGATGAGCCACATGGCTCCTGAAACTCAAAGATGAGTTTCGAAAACTGATATTAATGTCTTTTTAAGAGGTACGATCTTAAAGGCAAGAGAGAAAGAAAGAGAATTGAATGTAATTGAATTTGTTGCAGAACGAAACAAGCGACATCGCAGGACCTGCCGCGGAACAACAAGAACCACTTCACGTGCCTGAGCACGAAGGCTGTGAAAACCGGGGCGAAACGGCTCGGCTCCGTCTGGAAGTACGCCGCTGGGGAACACCACGGCACTCAGCATCCCTCGGGGGCCCCCTCCGAGGATCGAGAGGAAAGCGTCATCGGTGAGTTGGATACATTTTAAACCAGTTTACTCGAAGCATTAGCTATGTTTCCACCATCAAAATGGGACCCCTAGTAAAAATTGGCGATAAGAGCTGCGTTTCAAAATACCATAGGAAATCTTATAGCCGGCCAAAGAAGGCTACAGAAAGTCATGTAGCTGGCTGTAGAATGCGGAGAAAATCATACGGCCGGGCTATACAAAGCGATAAAAAATTACGCAGCTGGGCTATAGCTCCTATCGCCGGGCTTTACACTTTATCGCCTGGCTGTTGCTTTTTTGCCATCGATTATAAAAGGCTATAAGAAATTGTGTAGAAATTCGTGTGCTTTGTAAATCATTAAGTTTGATACGGAACCACCTTAATATTTACAAAACACACGTTATATTTTCCTTTAATACATATTTTTTTCATCAATTAAAACGAGAATAATCCAAACAGGATGTGCAAACATTTCAAAATCACGAGTTGGATAACGCTAACTCCGCCGGATTAAATATTAGAGCCTAACACAAAACGGAGCGACGACGCACTGGCGCCTACAAACCTAACAGAGATACTTCACGCATTGCGCAACGCGTGAAGTATCCCTGTTAGGTTTGTAGGCGCCAATGCGCGTTTCGCGCTGGCTGCCTGCCTGCCGCGCCGCAGCGTGCCACGGCGCTTGAAGCAACTATTTCACACCAGAGGTATTGCACAGTGTCATACGAAACTGAAGGCGCTCTATATATTAGAAATGGCAGGCATCCATCAAAGTACGGAGCTTTCCTCGCAAAATAAATCAAGATACTACGGCCCAAAAAGAGAGCAGTGGTCGAAAAACTTACTAACAATAAGTCCTAGCACACAGCTAGTACACAGTAAAATTTGCACTTTTAGCCAAAATTTGCAATTTCATAACCGACCTTTCCCAAAAGCTCGTTCCGCCGTGCCGTGCGCGGCATCTAAACTTTATCCAATCGAAGTCGGCTCTCGCCTGCCGCAAAGTGCGAAAGCTCTTTAAGTGGTCTTTTGCGCTGTTGCCACATCTCCCGAGCCACGGAGGAGAGCATGTGTAAACGCTCGAATTTTCTGAATCGAGTTTCTTTCTTTTTTGACTAATCTAATTTCAATTAACTTTCGGCCCAGCTGAAATAAGAAAATTTGTCATGCGTACATTTTGTTATTTGCCACCAAAAGGTTTAAATCTCTTATATAAAGTTATACGATTTACCCCGCGACCCTCTGAACATCGGTCCCCGCCACGCCGTCCCAGCGCGTCCCGCGCCCTTGATGTTCGTTCGGCGGACCCCTCGCGGCCGGGTCACCGTTCTTCCCGCGGATTTTCCCGTTCCCACCCCCAGGGGGGTCGCTACGGGCCCCGGGGGTGGTTCCGTTTTTCGCCCGTCCCTCGGCCTGGCGCGCGTCTTTCCGGTCGCGCTTCCACGTGCGGTCGCGTCCCGGCTATCGGCTCCTTGTCCCTCCGGCCGTTTCGTTTTTTTGCGCTTCCGGGGGGCGCGGTGCCCCTCGGACCGTTCCGTCGACCGATTCCTTGTAACGGTCACTTCGTACCTCCCCGTTCGTCCCCCGGGCTCGGGGTTCCGGCTGCGGACGGGTCCTACTGTGCCGACGTCCGATAAGGTCGGATTTCGCATCCGGCGACCCGGGAGGGGCGCTGGGGCCCCGCGACCGTTTTCGGAAAAACCGCCACCGCTCCCGTCACGTTCGGCCCGCGGCCTGGGGTTTCGGTCAGCGGGGGCCCCCGGCCGGCCGACGTCCCGTCTTTGCTGAAGTTTCGACCCCGAACTCCCGGGGTGGGCGCGGTGCCCCTCGGACCGTTTCGTCGGTCGATTCCTTGTAACGGTCACTTCGTACCTCCCTGTTCGTCCCCCCGGCTCGTGGTTCCGTCGGCGGACGGGTCCTACGGTGCCGACGTCCGATAAGGGCGGGTATCGTGATCCGGCGATCCGGGGAGGCCCTGGTGCCCTTCGAACGTTTCTGGGAAATTCGTTTCTGCGCCCTCCTCGTCGGTCGATCGGGGCCGCGTTTTTGCCGTGCGGTCTTCATTCGTTGCGCGTTCGGCGGAGCTGGCCTTCGGCCGGCTTTGGCAGGGGGGGGGGGGGGGGGGGGGGCGCCGTGAGTCCCTCCGCGTAGGCGTCGCGGCTACTCTGATGGTCTACTCTGAAACGACGACCGGAGCTCGGTCGCCCTTTTGTTGTATACGGTACGAGCGTTTCTACGGCTACCGTCCCGATTGGTCGAGTGTTGCGGTGTTGCCGGATCTCTCTCAGCGGTCGGAGAGTTCTGTTCGTGCACATCGTGTGGAAACGGGAAATTCCGCAACTGCTCACATATGTTTTTTTTGTCATTTTATTTTTACGTTATTCATATGAAATTTCCATCCTGTTAATTTCCATCGCCAACTGTTTGGTGCTCAGTCGGGATCATCGAGGTTTCCTTTCTGCAGACTCGCCGCACTCCTCACGCGCCGAAGGATTTTCTGTCAACCCTAGCCTTTCGTGCCAAGCAGGAATCTTTTTAACTCAAACCAACTTTAACGCCCTTATTTTAAAAAAGAAAATCAATAATATTGTCACACCCCGCCAAGAAAATCATTGTTGAACAATTTCTGGCAAATTCTCATGGAATATTCACGTTAATGTTTAGGGCCAATGCGGGCGGGACCCCTAAAAATTCGATTTTAAAGTTGACATTTTGCATAGGGCTTTTTAATGGTCTATAAAGTGATTTCAGACCGGAGGGCACCAATGTTCTAAATTCGTTTTTTGATATTTGTTTTGTATGAAGCTGATTCGTCTTTGTAAATTTGAAGATTTCCGAATAGTATCTCAAGATGATGTCGAAGCCATTCACATATTCGGTAGGGATGAATTTGTATGTGAATGTTTCTATGTGATCATTCTTTTTTTATATATATGTTTTTTTCCTTTTGGAATTGCTCGGATTGCGGACGGAAATTTTTCCTTGCAGTATGGCAATGAAAACGTCCTTACGTCATTGCCGTACTTCTCTGCTTTAACATGATTTTTTGGAGTAACTATTTCTACGAATCACCTTAACTAAATAAAGTGCCAACATTTTCAACTATCGAACTATCGACTATCAAATTTCAAACTATCAAATTTCAAACTATCAAAATTTCCAACAATGACAATAATAATTATAATATACCTATAATGTAATAAAATTTACACGCTCTAATCATTTAATTTGTATTACCTTTATGTTATGTACCTACATGTTATACTATTTTTGTAATAAATTTTGCCAACATGCTTTTCAATTCATTCTGCAACATTTCATTCCCACGTGGTAATAATGATTTATAATGCCTATAATCCATTATAATGCATTATAATAGTAATGCCGCATTATAATGTCGTATAATACATCGCAACGATTCATGTCCTACTGATTATTGATTATTGTGAGATGAATTCTGTTTTCTCTGATTGTATGTTTCATACGTGCGAAGCACGTACGGGTCGCTAGTATAGAATAAAATAACATCAAATCGAATAAGAGATAGCTCAAAAGAAAACTGTAAAATTACAAGAGGTAAGTTATAACTAGATAACTGCACTATACACTGATTTGACTGTCTATACACTCTCGGAAACAATTCGCCTTATAGCAATCCTTGGCGCAGTGTGACTCTCAATCGGCACTGTCCCATATCGACCCAAAACCCTTAATTTTATAAAAATAAACCCTCGTAGATTGAATTTTATAACGTTTTAGCATAAAATGTCTGCATTATTTGAAACTTAAAAATTGACGAATAATACCTCTTCTAGCGTCATTTTGTTTTTAGTACATGGGCTATATATTTCCGCGGTGTTGCGTATTAGTGAATGGACTTAATGTTCAGGCAGGAGCGTGAAAAAACATCTCAGTGAATGTTTTGGAGAATATTTTTTCTCTCTCTCCTTTTTCCCTTCTTTTCCCCTTTTCCCCTTTTTTCACTGATCTTTTTTGGCTTGTTNGGGGGGGGGGGGGGGGGGACATGCCGCTGTGCTCCCCCTGGATCCGCTACAGTATTAACCAACCCATGTCCCAAATTCATCACTGTTCGCTCCAAGACCTTCCAGTCCGCTGTTCATGAATCATACTTCGCTTGATGTTAATCCTTCTTTTTTCTCTGTGAAGATCCTGTCCTGCCTTGGAAAATGTGCCTAATTTGTGAAATACGGGAGTTATGAGAAAGCTCTAACTGAGAAAGAATTGGCATCCTTATCGTTAAGTTAGTTCGGAGATCAAAGCTTGTTTTTACCTACTGTTGAATGATGAATTTCCGGTGAGTTTTTTGTTGAGCAAGTTTTTGCATAAAAGGAAGTTTTGCCAAACTAAAAATAACAATTTAAAAAGCGGGTTCTAAGGCTAATTTTCTTATAAATACCATCAAAACGTTTCGGTTGAAGACTCAGCTTTACTCAGTTAGATAAAAACAGTAAACAATTTTAAAAATCTAAAAATTTTTACTTGCCTTTACCTTTGAGACAAAAAAAAATTGTTATGCTGTTGTTGTTTGCCAAACTGATTGCTCAACACTTTGGTCATCAACCATAGTGACGCGAATCTGAGATTTGGGTTCTAAGCGAAACTCTTACTCCTCAGAGAGGATAGGAGTATGTAGAAGTGCAAGATCTCTAAAGTATATTGTACTTGGGCTCCTTGTGAATTAAACTTTTTTGGGAGCCGAATTGGCACCCTCGATCTGAGCTTTCATGTTAGCGTCTGGAGAACCCGCTTCATTTCTCGTGTTTTTATCGGGCCTCTAATGAAAGTTGAACGGCGCTAACGTCTCCCACCGCCGCAGATTATATTTTTCCCGCCGAAATTTTGCGCGCTCCGTTTCACCCTGTCAGGTTTGCTCCGGTAAAATCGGTTCTTAGCGGACGTTTTAGAGCCTCGTGCAAGTACGGTGTGAAATCGGTGGTGCTGCAGCAGAGGGAAGTATATATAAACGTAAGATCAATCATGAATGTTGGTATAATGCA